GACAGGAAGGGACCCTCAAGGGGTTGGGGGATGGGAGGGTAATGTGGGCAACATTTCTCCTGTCCACTTGAGCCCCAGAGCCTACTGGGTCCCAAGCCTGGTCCTCCACCCTCTGATGCTCCCTCCAATGCCCCCTTCAGTGCCCTCTTCAGGTCCTGGGAGCATGGGAGGGAGGAGGAGGAGAGGAAGAGTAGAGGTAATTGGGGTGACAGGGAGGGACCCTTAGGGATAGGAGGATCAAAGGGGAACACAGCCAGGTCTCCCCAATTCACTTGGGCCCCAGCAAGCCTGCAGCAGTCCTGGTCCTGATTCTCCACACTTGGAGATGCGAGGCTCCACCCTGCCCTCCACCCCCAGGGCCCTTTCCAGACCCCTGGGTCCTGAACCCAGGCCCCACCCCCACCAAACATCAGCCCCACCTAATCCATACCCACACATAAGCTCCAGCCCCATAACTGCCAAGGCCTTTTCCAGAGTTTTTTGGGTTTTTATTTTTTGCCATTGTGGTTCTGTTTTATCTTGTTGATGTTTATCTTGTTTATCTTGTTGATGTTATCTTGTTTCATTTCTATTTTTATTTTTTCTAATATATCTTTTATTTTTCTAATTTTATTTTATTTTTTATTCTTTGTTATTATTATCCGTTTTTTTTTTTTCTTTGTGGTGTCATGCAGTTTGCAGGATCTTGATTCAAAAGTCAAGGGTCAGGCCTGAGCTCCTGTGGTGGGAGCATCATCCTGAAACCGTTAGACTAACAGAGAACCCCAGACCCCCAAAAATGTTTACCAGAGTGAGGTCTCCCAGAGATCCTCATCTCTGCACCAAGATCTGGCTCTACCCAACTGTCTGCAAAGTCCAGTGCTGAAAGCCTCAGGCCATACAACCAGTAAGACAGGAACATGTTCCCACCCATCAAAAGAATGAAACAACTACAACAAAAATATGTTACAGATGAAGAAGGAAGGTAAAAATGTACAAGACTAAATAAATGAAAAGGAAATACACAATCTACCTGAAAATGAATTCAGGATAATTATAGTAAAGATAATCCAAAATCTCAGATATAGAATGGAGGAACAGATCAAAAAAATACACGAAATGTTTAACAAAGACCTAGAAGAACTAGAGAACAGATGAACAATACAAAAATTGAAATAAAAAAGAAAAATACACTAGAAGGAATCAATAACAATAGCTGAGGCAAAAGAATGAATAAGTGAGCTGGAAGATAGAATGATAGAAATAACTGCCAAGGAGCAGAATAAGGGGGAAAAAATTGAAAAGAATTGAGGACAGTCTCAGAGACTCTGGGACAACATTAAATGCACCAATATTTGAATTATAGGGGTCCCAGAAGAAAAAGAGAAAGAGAAAGGGTGTAATAAAATATTTAAGAGATTATAGTTGAAAACTTCTCTAACATGGGAAAGGAATATCCACACAAGTTCAGGAAGGACAGAGAGTTCCATGCAAGATAAACCCTAGGAGAAACACATGCATATTAATCAAACAAGCAAAACTTAAATTCAAAGAAAAAATATTAAGAGCATCAAGGCAAAGCAATAAATAGCATAGAAGGGAATCCCCATCAATTGATTTGTCAGCAGAAACTCTGCAGGCCAGAAGGCAGTGGCAGGATATATTTATTTATTTATTTTAATTTGAATTTTTAAAATTTTTAATTGTAGGATAATTGCTTTACAATATTGTGCTAGTTTCTGCAGAATATATTTAAAGTGATGAAACGGGGAAAAACTGCAATCATGATTATTCTATAAAGGATCTCTTCCAGATGTGACAGAGAAATCAAAAGTTTTACAGAATAAGTGAGCTGGAAACTAAGAGAATTCAGCACCACCAAAACAGCATAACAACAAAGCTAGGGACACTTACAGACTGAAAGTGAGGATAGAGAAAAAGAAACTACAACAGTCTCCTGAAATCTCACCTCAGGAAACAAGGAAAATCTCAAACTGTCTAGCCTTAAACCCAAAGCAACTAAAGAAACAAGACTAAAGACAAACGAAAATCAGTAGAAAGAAAGAAGTCATAAAGATCTGAAGAGAAAGAAATAAAGAAGACAATAGCAAAGATCAATAAAATTAAAAGTTGGTTCTTTGAGAAGATAAAATTGATAAAGCTCCATTTTGATAGCCAGACTTATCAAGAAAAAAAGGGAGAACTCAAAACAATAAAATTGATTTGGAGAAATTACAACTGACACTGCAGGAATACAAAGGATCATAAAAGACTACTACAAACAACTATGAGTATTACCCTGATGGCTCAGATGGTAAAGAAGCTGCCTGCAATGCAGGAGACCCAGGTTCAATCCCTGGGTCAGGAAGATCTCCTGGAGAAGGAAATGGCACCCCACTCCAGTACTCTTGCCTGGAGAATCCCATGGATGGAGGAGACT